AAGGGTAGGGCGTCATTAAAAAATTGTAATTGTAAAAGGTATGTATTTTCCAAACTATCAGCGACTACTCATCTTTATATAAGTAATATATTAAGGAATTCATCCTTTTTATAATAATTTATTCCAGAGAGCTTTATTTGATTTTTCATTTACAATTTTACATCTTCAAGTAATCCTCTCTGCTTGAAGGTGATGTACTGCTTACAGTCCAGTTAAAAATAAGACCTCTGAATACTACCAGTTTTGACAGATATTTCTTTTATCTTTGCTCACTGGCTCAGGAGATGTGGCATTTTCGGCTAAAAGTAATCCGCTGCTCTTTCATTTGTACACAGGAAGTGACATGAAGTGACATCAAGTGACTGTTTTTAAAATATTATAGCTTCATAATATTCATTTCTTAAAATGGCATCATTTATCCTCCAAAACAACGACATTTGGGGCAATCTCAAAGACGTTTTTCGTTTGGGTTATGTATAGAAGAGAGCAGCAAGTTGGAGTTTTATTAGAGCCATTTTAAGCAATAGGGGTTTTGAAATGAGCCAAAGTTATAGAAGGTGCAAGAATACGCAAGAATGAATACGCACGAAATTCATCTTACCCGGCAGAAGAGCCATCATTACAGCGTGCTTTGGAGTCGTTCAAGTAAGTCAACTGGTAGATGTAATTCTGTGAATTGCCCAGTCGGCGCCAGGAACGTCGGTGTCCTTGCACATTTGCCTCCTTCTCTTTCGAAACTGCAGAAGCTAGAGAGCCTGGTTTCGGGGGCAAGTTGGGAGGAATCCAAGGCTCAACCGATCCTTCAACCGAAGAAGAGGTTAATCGTTTTTCTATTTTCTCCGACGATGCTTGCCACGATGCGGTTGACAGCTCCGGAATTGTTAATGTGGTTGTGCACGAAGACATGTTTTTTTCGGAAAACGTAAGAGGATAACTTTGGTTTGTGTCACCCGTCTCGGATTTGATGGTGGTGTCGGTGACATCGGCACTGGAACTGAAACCAGAACCGTAACTGGGACTGTAACTGTAACTGGAATCAGAAGTGAAATCAAACTGGGTAGTCGTCGTCTCGTCGGTTCGTGGTGGTCGTGTTGACAACAGGAAAGCCGTCAAGTTGCCTGAGCCCTGTCGGTGCGGGCCTCCTGGCCAGGCAAGTTTTGACATGGCCAGGGCCATCACCTTGGCTTCGGTTGCCACCGACTGGCCGAGCTCGAGTCCAATCGGCCTCGAGGCCTCTGAGTACAGGCCCATTGGAGGGGTCGAGCTGGCGACCCCGTGGCTGGTTTGGGCCACAGACCAGACGGGATAGACTAGCGCCTCCCGTGGCACCGTCAGAAGGGTCAGTTGCTGGTGATTAGTTGCTGAACCGATGAGCTTCGGCGTGGTAAAGGCCGAATTGAAGTTGGCGAATGGGAAAATAATCAAAAGGAGCTGGAGACCGAGAGGGTCCCAGCCCGTAAAGACGGGGAGCATCTCTTTTCTGGCCTACAGCCGAGTCGGAGCTTGTCTGTTCTCCACGATCCAGGCGTCAGATACGACGGATTATGTCAATTATCGTCGGTACCATTGACATACAACACTCTCGATTTGACGGTTGGCAGTGGTGAACATACAAAGTTGGCCTGTGATGGCAGGCAAAAGTGTGGCAGATTGAAAAGAGAGAAATATTCTCAGTCTAGTCAGCTCACAATTGTTGACTTAGTGCTTGATATGGGGCTCCTGAAGCGTGGTTTCATGTTCTGACGATGTCCTCCGCGGCGAGGCAGGCGGAGACTCATCCCGGATGGGTTGCAACGCCAAGACCATCTTCCAACGGTTTCCGATGCGAAAAATGTACCACTACCCTGCGCCCACCTTTTCAAATAAACAACATGAAGTGAATAAGGGATGCTTTGAAGCTCAACTTCTCTTTGTATATACCATAAATGTGGCAGAGTTGAAGGAGGAAAAGTATGCTCAATGGCGCTGTAGTCTTCCCCGAAGTTGAGCACATGCTGACAATGAGGAGACAATCTTTCACTCGCATGAGCTGCTGGCGAAAGCAAAACCAATTGTCATCACCTTGACTCTTTCTCAACATGTAGCGGGTACTCACCATCTGCACAGATCGTAAACCAAGAGGGGCGAGCCCCGATTTTGATAGCTCAACTCAATTGGTCTGACCTCTTGGTCGTGTTGTTAGGACGACCTGACAGAGAGTGTCTTGTTCTCTGTAGCATATTTCATCGCCACACCGTGGATTAGAGGCTTTCCTAAAAATGCCAGTCTCGGCGCTAAGACTGGCAACTTACC